TGAAACTGATGATGTACCCTGTAAACTTTCACTCAATCCACAATAAAAACCTTAAAAAAAAAAAAAAATACATAAAAAGATTTAAGTTAATCGTTAACACTATTTTTAGGCCAAATTATAAAACTGTATTCACAACACATGTTAAAATTTTTGACTATGTGTTTCCACACATTAGGAAGAGCCAATGAGTTGATTCCAACTCAAGAAGACCCTGACTATGGTTTCTGAGGGCTTTAAAGCTGTATGGGAGAAGAAAGCCTCATCTTTCTCCTGTAGAACAGCTGATGAGTTTGAACTGCCCACCCTGTAGCTAGCAGTCCAGTGCTTTTCCTACAGTGTCACCAGGATCCTAAGCAACACTAAAATTGCCTAAAAACAACAAAGAATGTTCTTTAGGTGTATTTGTAAATTTTTATTCAAATAATGCGCCAACAGTACCTCCCCCACTCCCAGGTAAGCACTGTGTGGAGGGAAATGTGTGCTTGTAGACTAACAATGGCTTCATTAATTCATTTCGAGAGGGCATTAATAGGCCGTGGTCTAACAGAAATTTAAGACAAAACTTTCTAATTTAAGGCATATATTTAAAAATTGATACAAGACTCTACTGATTGGCTTTTAGGGCCTAAGTTTAAGACAGGAGGAGGAGGAGTAGCTATTAAAGTCAAGTTTTTGCAGTAGTAAGGACTGGAATAAAGGACATATATGTATAGCAGTAGACTGTAGGTAAGCGGAAAACCACTCATCTTCTGAACCTAGAAGGAAATACTGATACATGAAATGAAGTATATAGGTAAAGATGGAGACGTGAAGGTCATTCATGCCTGATCCATGATTGTTTCTGTCTTCTTTGAGCTGTTGCTAAATACTCCTTGAAAGGGAGTTCCATTTTTTAACACACGGGTTCAATGACTGAAAATCCCTTAAAATGTTATTGGTATACTGCGACTCCCCAAGAGAGGGCTAAATTAGTAGCATTTCTCAAACTTGCATGATCATTTAACTTTTCCAGAAATACTTTTTAATAGTATTCTGTAGAACACGGGTCTTTATGGGGTATGAGAAGAGTGTGAACATTTAGACGGTTATTCAAAACTATTTGGCAAAGAAAAAAGTGCACATGCTTCTATGTACATTAGAATTTTTCTCCCAATTGAGTTTTAAAGCATTACTTAAAAAAAACAATCTGTTTTAATTATTTTATAATAATATGATATTATTTAGCATAATCTTAACACCACTTCAACCAAGTTACACTTACATTCGGCTAGCTTCAATATCGTCAGACTGAGGTTCTCCAGGTGATCTGCAAAAGGCAATTGAGTAAAAGTTAAGTAAGATAGTCCACAGTCCATAAAAAAAGGTAGATATTATTTTGGAAGACAAACATGAAAACAAGATTTAAGCACTAAATAAAAGTTTTAAAAATAACTAAGAATTGGAATGCAAGAAAAGAGTAGCAAAATGCAACTGAGAAAAGCAAGCAAAATAGTCCATAGTTCAATAAAAGGTGTTATTTTGGAAGACAAATATGAAAACAAGATTCAAGTATTAAATAAAATGTGTGGTTTTTGTAATTAAAGATTGCAATGCAAGAAAAAAGCAGTCAGATTGCTATACACATATTTATCATAAGGACTGAACTAGTGAAAACCTTACTACATTTTTCTTGGGAGTCTTGGCGTGGTGCTGCAGAATAAGCACTGGACCAAGAACCATAAAGCCAGCTGTTCAAATCTACCAGCTGCTCCTCGGACCCCTATACAGGGTCGCTATGATTCGTAACCAACCTGATGGCACTTAACAACAACATTTTTCTTAAGGCAAAGTAAAATGTACACACTACACATAAAATATCAATATATAAACCAGTATAACAAATCACAATTACAAAATTATATATTGATTATAAAAACACATAATTGAGAACGTTTCCACCACTTTCTTATTTATACAGAATAACATAGGAATTCACTGATATTCATAGTCCCAAATCTTAGATCAGAGGTTGGCAAACTAGTTAGGGTTAGCGATCTGCTTTTGTGAATAAAGTTTTATTGTAACACACATTGATTCATTTACATGTTAGCTATAGCAGCTTTCATGCCACAAGAAGAGCAGAAGAACTATAAACTGTAAAGCTTAAAATGTTTATTATTTGGCCCTTTGAGAAAAAGTTTACCAACCTCTGCTCTAGATAAACTCAAATCTAATTACCTTCATGATTTTTGAACAGTAAGATTTGCCATTCTGGTCATGATTATTTTGGTTCAGTAGTGAAAATAAATATACTAGCAAGATACACTCACTACCTGTCAAAGGTATGCCTAGGGGTATTAAAATTTTGTTGTGAATAATTATCAATTAACTTCAGTTATAAATAATGCCAATTATCTTCTATTATTTCTAAATATACTGCTGCTATCTTAATGTAGATATATTTAAAATTCTAAGACACTAAGAAGCCTTTCATTTCATTCTGGGAACCTTGATCAATTTTTCCTCTCATTATGGTGTGGCATTGTAGGAAAAACATAGGACCGCTAACCACAAAGTGGTCTGTCCAAACCTACCAGCTGCTCCTCGGAAACCACTGTGACTTGACGACACTTAACAACAACAAACATACTTTTACCATGAATTTCTATTAGCCTTTCATAAACAGCATCAGTAAATGTATATTAAGATGAATATTATAATGCTGATTCCTTGTTAACGCTTTTAGCTAGCTGAAAACTTTGAAGAACTTTTACAAAAGAATCTTAAAATCAGAGCCACTAAGAAAAAAAAAAATGCTTTGCACAATCCTTAGGTGTTTAAATAACAGAACAAAACCCAAAACTCACTTCTTCATAAAACCTTCAAAATGGACTTTCAATTTGGGATTTAAGATCATTCAGAATGGACATTAAAAATAAATAGTAAATAAGGTTCAAGTTCAATGATATAGTTTAGATCTTCTTTGCAGTGTATTTATCCTTCAATTTTGCACAAAAACACTTAAGAAATAAAAATGGGATGTGCTGGAGGTAGCTGTGACATGGCAGTGACTCAAGTGCACAAACTTCACTCTCCCCTTTCCCCCAGGGAGCAAGCACATCCCTTCTGTGACACACCTTGTCTCCAGCAGCCTTGTGGGTAAGTACCCCAAGATTGCTTCCACACTTGTATCTCCCCGACAGGAGAGCTAAAGACTGATGATAACCCCATGTGCCAGCTGACTCATTTTTGAGTGCGACCCTCCAGCATCAGATGTCATATTGTAAGGAGGCAGAGCTGGTTTGTAAAACAAAAAACAAACCTGCTGGCACTAAGGGAAGAGAGGCAGATTAGAGGCTTTCAAACATGTAGACAGCAACACTTTCAAAATCAAACTGAAAAGAGAAAGGCTGAGAGGGGAAAGCTGAGGACACACAATAGGAAACATCAAAGTACTACTGCAAAGAGGTAAGACACAGGCAAGAAGGAGAGCAAACCCAAGCTTCAGAAGTACAATCTGTAATTTGCTGCAAAGTTTGAGATTCTGAAATATGAGAGAGATTACATACGTCACTAAGTGATAACGACATTCTATTTTTCCAATTTCTATCACCTAAACCAGGGAAAATGTAAACAGTAGCATCTATCTATCTATATAGGTCACCCAAATATAAATTTAATAGATTTAATAATAACAGTATATAAGTAGTGTGAGCTAATAAACATCATTAATAAATCAAACCAACCAAAGGGTATAAGTAAGTTAAACCAATCCAATCAAGTGAAAGGATAAAACTAAAGGATTAAAGATTATTCCTCTACAAAGGACCTGCCCTCTGTATTTGTAAACATGGTAAGCACACAGCAGCTTCTATTTAAATTGTAAATCCATTACAGAAACACTTTGCTTGCAATGAATTAATAGTGCATGTCTGGTACATTTTTGAAAATTAATAATCTAAATAAAAGCTCTCCCCCAAACCCCCTAAAGTAACGACTCAAACTCTTAAAACTGAAGTATCTAATATCCAGCAATAGTTCCCAGTGCTTATGCTTACTTAAGTCTCCAAAGAGGCCATTTATTCTGTACTGTCAAGTGTTTAGAATTTTAAAAGAATCCAGTAAGTACCTGTACTTTTAACAAATTCAAAGTCTATAATCAGAGAAAAAAACTACTGAGGGAAACTAACCTAAGTTTATCATAACACTAAATCATTAAAAAATTTAAATAGTGAAAATAAAAAGCAAATAAAATCTTGGAACTGTCTTCACTTTAGTTTTACACTGCAGAAAATATGCTAACTAGTCTAAATACTGCAGCATGAGCTAGCAAATCCCAATATGGCTCACTCCCAGTAATACTGGGGCAGCTCCTCCACCCTGAAATCCACTCCTTTGACCTCCACTGCAACTCTGTAGGAGAGAGAAAAAAAGTGTACTCATTTTATTAAAGTTGCAGAAACTTCTAAGGAAATGTTTCATTAAAACTTTCAGCACATAAAAGGCACACCTTAAAAAACACCTACTAAGAAAAGTCCCAGGTCTTTTAAAATAACGTTTACAATAAAATGCTTATTTAAAAACCTGACATTTTTTGAGAACCACTTTTCTGCTCTAGTCACACAAGTCTTTAGTGGTGGCTACTAAGAATTCGAGGGTTTCTTGGGTGATGCCAATGATTAAGTATTCAACCACTAACTGGGAAAGAATCCTTCCAGAGGCACCTCACAAGATAAGCCTGGTGCTCTGTTCCTCAAGAGTTACACCCGGAGCAAGCCATGGAGTGTCACCTACGCCTGTACACCTGGAATCTACTTGACAGCATATGGTTTGGTGTTTAGTTTGGCACTGATTGTTTTCAATGGAGGGGAAAAAAAGCACTGCGATATTAAAGCTGATTATTCAAAGTTCGACCAGTCCACTTTTCTTATAGCAAGAAACCTGTCAACTATTCATATTTACAGCATGCACATGACTTTACAATGACAGTCTGTAGAAGGCTGTAAAATACATGAAATATTACCTTTTACAAGCTGTGGCCATTCGGTGACATCAGGGTGAACACAGCTTTGAGTCACTGATTAAAAACAGGTTGTCACACCAGTCTAGCTGCTAACTTGATCTGACCGTAGGCTTAATAATTCTAATAAATTAAACAAACCTTTAGTTAAAATACTTTAATATAATCCAAATCACTGCTGAAAAGGCAATCTTCAAAGCTTTAAACTGTCAATGTAAAATTCACAAAAATCATTACAAATGCTTTTAAAAACAGTTTCCCCGACCCAATCTCATTTAAATGACCTAGTCACTTGAGAAAAAGTGGCAATAAGCCCTTGATCTTTTAAGAAACATTAGTTTACACAAACTTTGGTCTGAGCCTCATGACAATTCTGGTTCTACCAAATCAGGGTGGGTGCCTGATTTGGTAGAACCCTGAACTACAACTCAGTGGCCTTCAGGGGACTGGCTTGTCTGAGACCTCAGACTTCCTGCTGGAACATGGACTGAAACTCAGAGGGAGTGTCTTCCTAGCCAGAGCTGGAATGTTGTAGTGTGAGTGAGTTTTGCTCTACAGAATTTCATGACTAAAATATATGTAAACAATATAAACAAGCAAAGATTTATTTAAAACACGGATTGAGACCCCCAAAACAGAGACACTATTTAAATGGCATTAATTTAGTAACGGGGTTTTTTAACCGAAGGGAAAAAAATCAGTCCACAAGTAGGTAAATGCTTAATGGAATAGCTACATATGTATATACATGCACCCAAGTCTTGTTATTGTTGCTAAGTGCTAATGAGTTGGGACCAACTCATAGCGACCTTATGCACAACAGAACCAAGCACTGCCTGGTCCTGTACCAACCTCACAATCATTGCTCCACTTGAGCCAAATGGTGCTGCCACCTTGCCAATCCATCTCGTAGGGGGTCTTCCTACTTATTATAAATCTAAGAATGGTGGTATATAACATTAGCCAAAATCCCCGAAGTGCTACATGAATGCATGCTCTCCTTTTTCTCAGCTAGATACTAGCTGAGATTGTTTCCTGAAAGAAAACGGAAGAATATATACACATCTCCTCAATAGACCTATTTTTCTATCCCCTTACTTGACCTTAATAGAACTTCCCTGATGATCATGGTTTAAATTTACTTGGCCTCCTAATCATACGGTAGTACTGGCAGACAGCATGTTGTTGTTAAGTGCTGTCGAGTTGGTTCCAACCCACAGTGAGCAGAAATATTCCAGCTCATTTAATGCAACTATTTTTTCCTTTCAGGTTCCCCCATCAAGCTGTATGTTGTTTAGTGCCATCAAGTCCACTGCAACTCACAGCGACCCTATGTAGGATTTCCGAGGAGTGGCTGGTGGGTTTGAACCACTGACCTTGGGGTTAGCAGTCCAGTGCTTATCCTACAGCACTCACCAGGTTTCTTATCAAGCTGCAGATCCAGGCCAAATCTGAAAAGCAAACTGAAGAGACAAGAAAATTAGGAGTAGGAGAAAGACCCACTTTAATTAATTCATAATTAACACCTTCAAACCAACCACAGACAGGTACAGAAAATGACTAATTCCCACCAAGGATATGGAGCCCAAGATGAAACAAGGCATCTGAGAATCTCGAGAGGATCAGAACTCAGTGCTTAAGTACACACCTCAGCAATGCAGCTGACCTTGCTGTTAGCAATCCAGTGCTTATCCAAAGGGCCACACCAGGACTCCAAAAAAAAAGAGAGAGAGAGAGAGAGACGCCCATTAAAGTGGATTAAGTACTGGACTGCTAAGTGCAAGTTCAGGAGTTCACACCCACCAATAGCTGAGGGAGCAAAATGAATCCTTTCTCCTTTAAAGATTCAGTCTAGGAAACCCTAAAAAGCAGTTCGTTCTACTCTGTCCTGCTGACCATCCACCCACTGTCATCAAGCCGATTCCAACTACCAGTGATCCCATATAGGGTTTCCAGGGCTGTACATCTTTACAAGAGCCAAATGTCTCATCTTTCTCCCACAGAGCAGCTGGTGTGTTTAAACCGCTGACCCTGTGGTTAGCAGTCCAGTGACTATCCCATAGCACCCCTAGAACTCCTTCCGTCCTATGTTGTTATGTGCCGTGGAGTCAGTTCCAACTCACAGAGACCCTATGTAGGGTTTCTGATGCTATAAATCTTTACAGGAGCAGAAAGCCTCATCTTTCTCCCGCGGAACAGCTGGTAGTTTCGAACTGCTGACCTTGCGGTTTGCAGCCTGACTCGTAACCACTATGCTACCAGAGCTTCTTAGTTTGTACGTTGTTGTTGTTGTGTGCCGTGGAGTCGGTTCCGACGCATAGCGACCCTGTACAGGGTTTCCGAGGCTGTAAATCTTTACAGGAGCAGAAAGCCTCATCTTTCACTGCTGACCTTGCGCAGCCCGATTCGTAACCACTATGCTACCACAGCTCCATCTTATAGGATCCCCATAAATAGGAACTGACTTAATGCCAGTGTGGTGCTGTAAGATGTACTGGAATGCTAACTGCAAAGCTGGCAGTTCAAAGCCACCAGCGGCTCTCGGAAACCCTCTACAGGATCACTCTAAGTCCACCAACTGTTCCTTAGAAACCCTATACAGGGTCGCTGTGAGTCAGAACCAATTAGACGGTGCTTAACAACAAATTCCCTGAGGAACCCTGCTGTAGTGCCCTATAAGATAAGCACGTGACTGCTAGCCATGAGGCTGGCAGTTCAAACCCACCAACTACTTGGAAACCTTATATAGTGTCACTATGAGTCGGAAGCGACTTGGCTGCATTAACACTAAGTTCCTTGAGGGGTGCTGTTGTTGTTAAATGCCACTAAGTTGGTACCAACTCATAGCAACCCGAGGAGCAACTGGTGGGTTTGAACTGCCAACCTGTGGTTCACAGACCAGTGCTGATCCTACAGCGCTACACCAGGTCTTCAGGGTAGAGGTTTTACAATGTTATTATTTCATATACTCCTCAGTTAACACCTAACACAAAATTTTAACAATGGCAATCTCACACATGGGAAGACATCTGTAATTATTCTAACATTAAGAGAGAGGAGACATAAGCCATGACTGTAAGATATGCACACAATACGAATACAACAAAACAGAAACGTACCATATTTTGACAAACTTTTGATGAGCTGGTGAATTCTAAAGTCAGGCTCTTACAGATTTGTAACCTGAAAATAAAAAATACTTCACTCAGTTCTTTTTATAAACTTTCAAAATGAAATGCATCTTTAAATAAAACTTACTATAAAATCAAGCCATCTCATTGTAATATTTATGAGCAACCAAAAATGTATCAGGTGCTGCCCGCATGTGAAGGGTGTTTCCTGCTGGCAGAGGTACTGCTCCCATTTCCATCCACAGCGCCTACCAGGCTTCCCACGTCCTTCACTCTTTCTCCCTCTGACAGGGCTGATACTAGTATGAGAACATATGAAAACTGTGTGCCTGCAGGCCTCTATGCCCTTGAATGTAACCCTAGATCTCTAGCACCTTCTAAGTATGTATACGCATCTGCCTATTACCTCCTCCAGGACAGACAGTGATGGGCAAGTCCTTTGACTTGTGTTGTTGTTGGTGGTTATGTGCCGTGGAGAGGGTTCCAACTCATAGCGATCCTGCATAAGGTTCCTGAGGCTGTAAATCTTTCCAGGAGCAGAAAGCCTTATTTTTTTCCCGTGGAACAGCTGGTAGTTTTGAACTTCACACCTTGAGGTTAGCAGCCCTACTCGTAACCACTACGATCTTTTGACTTAAGTTTCAAAAAACTAATAAATCTGTAGGATGGAGGTTAAAACCTATTAAACTTGTTTCAAGTATTAGAGAAAACTTATAAACAATGCTTGGCAAATAGGACCTTGGTATATTTTAGGGGTCATGGTGTGGCACTGTAGGATAACCACGGGGACTGCTTATCTAAAAGTCAGCAACTCAAACCCACCTGGCACTTTTAGGAACTCAAAACCCAAATTTTGACGCTTATAACAGGCCCCAAATTATCCTTGTAAATTCTTAACTCACACTTACACATTCACAATGTTTCTCAACATGAGAATAAAGTCTGTGGGATAAAATAATTTATTATCTGTGAAGAAATCAAGTCCCAGAGATTTCACTTCAGAGATTCTGGTTCAATGCATGAGGTGGAGGCACTTGCATTTTGTTGTCTCTAATACACACCTCATGTGGTATCTCTAGCATTCATTTCATGTGTTGAGAAACATATTGTTGAGGGTGTTATGCTCCTTCGAGTTAGTTCTGACCCATAGCGGCTCTGTATAGGGTTTCCTAAGGAGCTCTGGTAGCGTAGTGGTTACGAATCGGGCTGCAAACCACAAGGTCAACAACTCAAAATTATCAGCTATTCCACAGGAAAGAGATGAGGCGTTCTGCTCCCGTAAAGATTTACAGCCTCGGAAACCCTGTACAGGGTTGCTATGAGTAGGAATTGACTTAACGGCACATAGCCACCACCACCAGGAGCAGTTAGTGAGCTTGAACTGCCAACTTTGTGGTTCAAACTGACTTTACAGTCCAGCACATTAACCCACAGCACAACACTAGGACTCCAACACATAATATACCAAATCTATAAGGATACTGAATAAGAAACAGAAACCATAATCATCCAAAGTCTTAGGTGCATTTGCAAGCAAATTTAAACCATTAGCACCCTACTTTGAGACCTGTTATTTTATTTATATCTGCATATCTCTTACAGAGAGGGCTAACTAATAAGAAATGCCTATATCCATCTGTTTACCTAATCTGTCTGTTTGTCGTACTGCGGTGGCTTGTGAGTTGCTGTGATTCTGAAAGCTATGCCACCAGTATTTTAAATACCAGAAGAGTCACCCATGGTGGAGAGGTTTCAGATGAGCTTCCAGACGGAGACAGACTAGGAAGAAGGAGTGATGAACTACTTCCGAATATTTAGTCACTGAAAACCTTATGAATAGCAGAGAAACACGATCAGATAGTGCCAGAAAATGAGCCCCTCAGGTTGGAAG